AGAGAGAGAGAGAGAGAGAGAGAGAGAGAGAGAGAGAGAGAGAGAGAGAGAGAGAGAGAGAGCTGGGAGGACAAATGGGAAGAAGCTTTGGCCTGATTTGAACTGTTCGTGATGCCGTGGGTGGAAGAGTCACGTTAGAGAACAAAGTGTCTTGAGCATACGCGATTCGCTCACAAACACACACACACATACGCACAGTCAACCCACACTGAATTCTGGAACATACACGTAGGGATTACAAAGAATAGACAACACAAATACACACAACTTACGACGAAAACAAACTCAACGCCAAAACTGCTATAAAAATGCGGGAAAGCCAAAACACACACAAAAACGAATTAAAAAATAAAAAGTACTGGCACGAGCCTAAAATAAGGATACGACAAGTGGATTCTAAGATGTGTCGCGTGTCGAGAATTAGTTTATGACAATTTTATAAGGTAAGTAAATGTGTTTTAATAAGATAAAATCTATTGCAAAAATAGTAGAATGTTTAGCTTATTTTTAAAATAGGTTTTTAAGTCTGTTGGTTTGGCGAAAGGGATAACGGGAGTCTCAAAAAGTGGCAAGCTATTTTGCAGCCGCACAGTGCCATGCGCTATTCATTCGCTTGAAAATCACGCAGCTCGGGTTCTCCACGGCTCCCCGCCCAAAGTCAGCATAACCACCGACAAGATTCGCACAATACAAGAACTCTAAATAAACAGATTTGTTAATTTTGAATTACAGTGATATATTTTCCGCTGCGTGATTTTCAGGGCCATTGCCATCTACTGTCTACTATCACTGATCTTTCAGGTTACGAAGACACAACAATTGCGGGAGCTGCATTCAAACACCGCCACAAAAATTATCAGTGCGGAACACGGCGGCAGCTGATCTGAATCGGGGCCAGCGAAGATTAATTCTTCTTCTAGGAATACAACCCAATCCAACATCTCCCCGGCACGGGATGTCGTTTTTTTTCTGACATAGGTGGAAACCAAAATCAAAATCAAAAATAAATAAATCGAGATGGTTATCTTGAAGCAGCAGCTCTTGCAGGAGGGGACTTTACGCAACGCAATCCAAACGCCTCGCAACTAGATAATACAATTCTTATTGTCAGAGGTCAGTGAAATCAAGGAAACAAAGAGAAAACCAGTCGCCTGACTCAGAAATATAATGCAGAAACGATAGATTATATTTTTAAAAATGAGGTCCCAAATTGAAAACCAGTTGACTTGAAACGAGCCTAGCCGCGAGGGGGAGGCGGCCGCACCCCGCTCCGCGCTTCACATACCTTGTTCGTGCTTGCTCTTTTCCACCGCCGAGCAGGCCGCCCTCCACTCCTGCAGCTCCGGAGAGGGGATCAGACCAGCTGATCCGCCGGAGCAGTCTCGCCGCGCCTGCCACCAGTTGTGGTCCTCTTTGTTGATGATCTGCAACGCAAAAGGGGTCCGTAAGAAGTCTCGCTATAAATTTAAGTCGCCGGGCGAAGCGAAAACGCCTCATCAGATATTTATCGCCCCGGCCTCCCTCCCATCTGTCTGCTGTCCGCCCCACACAGCGCCCCCCGCGATCGCCGACGAATTTCATTCAGCCCGAGTGGGGAGGAGAGGGGAAGGAGGGCAAGCGCGCGTATAGCCAGCCCGGTGCGTTTTAGTGAAGAGCTGAAGAAGCTACACCCATTAAAAATGAATTTACGATCGGTTCGCCTCGGGGCGCGAGGCAAGGGCGTGAGGGGCACGGCAGCGGGATTAGAGGGTCGGGGGGCCACTGATTGCGAATAATGAATAAGAAACCGTGGACAGCAGGAGCAGCAGGGGGTTCACAAACAGAACGCCCAGAGACACAGACACCCGGGAGACGCGATGATTTCAAATTACTATTCCCCAGTCCCAGAGAGATCAGCATCTCATCGCTTTTAGATCACCTCTCTCTGGCAACGCTCGCAGCGCAATGACAGACACCCGCCTCGGACTCCACCCACCACCCTCATCCGTCCGGCTACCCTCCTTGGCATAAAGGGTACGGTAAATTATCCACCGACGGAGGTTGGAGGCCGTTAGGTGGCAGAAGTTTAAACAAACAACAAGACGCTATAAGCCCCGCGACGACACTTTACTCACCTGGAGAATGTCGCCGACCTTGAAGGAGATGCCCGCCTGGGCGCAGGGGATGAGGTCGTCCTCTAGGGGGTCGTAGTCGAACTGAGCGCGGACGAAGATCTGAAAAAGATGGCCAACATCAGAACCAAAGAAGGAGCAGAAAGCAAAAACAGAAAAACGGGAGGGTGGGTGGGAGGGAAGGGAAAACGTCGGATCGCGCGCGGAGTCTTACGGATGTTTTTTCTTTAAATTTCTTTTCAAGGAATCGCATTGTGGACGTTTCTTTTTTTGCGTATGCCTAGTTACGGAGGCTAAAAACTACGCAACTTGCACGCACAAAATAAATACTGTGGAACTAACGACAGCGGTTGCAACTTCAACACACTAAATCCTTATGCATTCTGTTGTGCATAAGACTTGCAGGATTTCATACAGCCATAGCTATGCACAGTTTTTCGTGCATAAGTATGCAAAAATAACGCCACTATGCACAAATTTGTGCATAGTAATGCTGAAGTTTTACATAGTTATGCATGAAATTTGGTGCATAACTATGGCTGTATGAAATCCTGCATATTATGCACAACAAAGTACATAAGGGTTTAGTGTGAACATTTTGCTCTTTGGTAAGAATGCGTCAAAAAAAACTGTTTGTGTAGTTTGTGTCTTTACTTCAATACGAACACATCTACGACAAATTTGGTACGCGCTTGCAGTTGATCAAAGGACGGCGGTTTTTCTTTCAGAGGAAAGTTGGCGTGGATGGAACAAAGTTCACACTGTCAGACAACTTTATTTTTTTAAAGTCCGTTTTTCCTATATAAATTTGACAAAACATGGGATATTAGAGCCTGTGAGTCTCAGGGGAGGCCACCCCGCAGTACACGCACGAGCTTAAGGCATGATGTTGCCTACTCATCAAGCGCTATGAAAGCTTGCCGCTGAACTCGGCAGGTTCGTCATCGTCACGTCACGGCGAATGACGGACGCGTTTTTTTCTGGATGATCCCTTCAAATTATGATCTACCTGCTGCTTGGAAAGCACCACCGTGCGCCTGGGGCAACACCACGCTGTCGTTGGTGCAACACTCACCTACGACAAAGCTTCGCAACACGCCTGTCGTTGGTTCAAAAGTAGTCCATTTTTATCGTGGTGTTAAAGCAAGAGTAAGGCTGGACTCAACTGCGTCCCGTCGTACCTACCGCAAGCTGCTGCTCGACAGCAGCCCCCGCGACTTGGCACCGGGGCTCAGGGTAAGTCTTACACAACACGGGAGGGACGAGTGTTCTTATTCAACCATCAGAAAGACATGAACGAGGAGCGGGGGCGTCCATTCAGATTATTGGTAAAGATCTAAAGAATCAAGTGGACTCGTTTCACAAGACCCACTTATTGTCCTTTGGGAAAAGACGCACTACAAAAAAAAATATGAGGGGGGCAGGTGGTTTAAACAGGAGGACAGTGTGAAAACTTTGGTAACGCCCATTTCTTATCGACGGGGCACATGCTGACCGAACATTCTAAAACAAAACAAAAAACAAAACAACAAAAACACTCACCTAAAACCAGCGCTATAGAGATGACAGATAACCAAGAAAAAGCATGACAGCAGTTTATGACAAGGAAAACGAAATGAGAGACCTGATTTCCATAAACGCATGCGACATACTCACCAGGAAGGGTAGATAGCTTTGTCCTGCATCGTGATTTTTTTTAAAAAGAAGATTGTGATGCATCTGCACGACATGATGCAGAGAGAATTTTGGCTCGCTGCGCAGGGAGACGGGATTCAATTTACCGTGTTTGCCACCCCTAAGATCAAACAAACCCTCAGACCCCTTCTCTTACACACGCCCACACGCCGTCAGCAGAGGACACGTCTTGTGCCAGCTCTGCTAGCTCTGCCAGCTCTGCCCGTCCCTAACTCAGCTTCTTCAAACCCTCCCCCTTTCCTCGTAGGTCAAACGACGTGTGTGAGTGAGCACGCGCATGAATGTGTGTGTGTGTGTGTAGGGGTAGGCCCGTGATTGTGCCCGTGTTTGTGTGAGGAGAACAAAGCAGAGGGCTGGTGTGGTCCCCCAGGTAGCTTGTTACCAAGCCTTACACTCCAAATAAGGTGTGGTCACATGACCTGGTGCACTGATTAGAAGCACCCCCCCATAAATGACAATTTGGAACGTGTGTGACAATAGAAACAGGAGTTAGAGATCACGAAAAATGAAATAAAAACAGTGCGATTCGCGCGCTGTGCATTGGACTTACCAGGTCGCTCGACATGCAGAGTACATCTTTTTCAACACACAAAGACGACACACAAAACACAAAGAGAAAGAATGGAATAGCACACCGCTGCACTGACACGGTGTATACTTACATCTTTGCAATACTGCCCGTGACATGATGCGGCGGGCCCCTGCAGCGGGTCAACATAAGCAACGAGGGGTCACTAACATTCGCCATAAAAGTATCCGAAGATTGATTTGAGCAACACGCCTAATACTGCTGATACATAATAATGAAGACCATCCAATATCCAGTTCAGCAGAAAATGAGCAAATCTATGCAGCTGGTTTGGTGCCAATGAAGTTATCAACACGGGCCAGTTAATAAATTCATTGACAGCATGTTATGAGGAAAATACGCCACCCTAACAAATTTTCAGTATCCCAACTCAGTCAATTTATTGTCCCAAAAATTTCGTTTATTTATAATATATGCAAATGTTTTTTAAATTAAAAGAGACACTTTTTATTTGAAGACATTGTCTTATAAACTCCCCGTAGCAGCATTGAGTTCTAAGTACAAACAAGACACACTACACGGAGCGATTTGTTAAAGCACAGCAGCAAAAGCCAACAGTTAGTTTCCATAGCAACGCTTTCATTCAGTCATAGATGACGTTAGGTTGCTTCACCCGTTCGAATCCCCTACTGACCCTCTTAAGCAGTTCCACACTGGCATCTACTGCCAATTCAGACGAAACACATGTTCATGCATGGCCTACCTAAATCGTCCTATGACGAGATTTCACCACCACTACCACATTGTAGGCCCACAATGAATAAGAGGTTCTCATATTTCTAAAGTACAATAATCAATTAATAATAAAGTCTAATGATATGTAAAACTGTGTTTTTAAAAATTAAGAATTCGGTTCTGTGCAAAAGGCGCCCTGGCGGTCAGATGAAACCTCGCCTCAGGGCGCAATACGTTCACATATAGCTAACAAAAAACCGCGTTCGACCTTTTGCAGTAATGCCATGACCTGATGCTAAAACCCGTCTATCGCGTTTTCAATGAACTTATTTCTGGTCTAGGCAAAGGAAATTGAGGTCTCCTTTCGATCACGGGAAAGGGGACTCTTTATTATAAGCTGTAGGGTGGAAGAATTTGAAGTTTAAAAAAAGAAGCATCGAGGACGAAAATTGAGCTATATAGACAGTGCAGTAGGAAAGCTCTTTAAGCATTTGCAAAAAGGGCGCCAATGTGCTACGGACTCGCGTCCACAGCCATTTTATCTGACAGTGCATCGAGCGTGATCCATAACAGTTTGGCACCTGGCGTTTTGAATCTACATCGTACTAAATTTTAGGATAGATCAATTGAAAGATTAGCTGATTAATTTTAAGTCAATGTTATTTATTATCGTTTTTTTTATTTATGAATTTGTAATCTCAAAAGAGAGATAACAAAAATACGTTTCTCCCAGTTTTTTTGCCCTTTTAATTTTTAAAGTCATGGATGGCAGCAGAGGACCGTGACCCCAGTTATAAGTTCCCGATCAGGCTACTACCACAAAACAGCCACCAACAATTGACGAGTAGTAGTGAGTACTTACTAAGACTGGCGGGGGTTTAATCCTGAATAACTAGATTCGTCCGAACAGAGAGAAAGATGGAAGTCTGAATTAATACCCCTTGTCGCCAGATAACCGATGGACGAAAACAAATATAACTGCAATTTTGGAGTTAAAAGCAGCGGCGCGTGTATTGGTGAGCATTTAAGAGCATACATTTCGAAACTGTTCACGTACATCACGCGACTGATGTACGTGCAGCCCCCCTGTGATGCACTAACTCAATTACTTCCATCGTGCGACTCAACCGCTTCAAACGAGCGTCATTACAGTCATTACGCCGCCAGGACATTAGATTGAATCGATTCCGTACTGCTTCGCGGTCTCATTTGCTCACCGCAACACGCGCGGCCCACAACAAAGCCGGTCGACATTGTTTAACCTTTTTCTTAGAGAGACACAACAGAGGTTATTTAGCTGGCTCTGGGCGGCGGAGGGGGTCGAGGGCGCGCCGAAGTCCGAGGTCACGCCCCTTATTTTCAAAACAAATACGCGTGACGCGGGGAACGGCGGAGCGAAACTCTCGGACGTGCTCGGCAGGTTCCCCCGGGCAGGGCCGCGCGTTACCCCCACCCCCTTCCCGCGCGCGGGCAAGGGCGCAGGGCCCGGCTCACGGACCCACAAGGGATTTACCGAGCACTGATCCAATACATTGTGAGAATTGGACTACTCAGCGCGGCTCGGGGTTCGGCGCGCCCCACACGGGCTTGGCTGACTCACGGAAACCGCATTTCCCTCGGATTTTTCAGACGCAAGGAAAATCGAAAAAAGTTTAGGTTAACGTTCTAGTATACCAACTGATAAACGAATGTAAACACGATACAGGGATAGGCTCGGTTACAATTATTGAGCATTTAGAACAAAAAGGAAGAATGAGCGTTCTTTTCTGTGAGTCGGTCAAAACTGCCGCCCAGGCAGATCGAGTTAGAGCTGAAGCATGTGGTTATTTAAAACTAGTTTAGAAGTCTCGGCGACTCTTTGGTTTTGGGTGCGTTTCAACAGAGAAGAGACTACTGTGTCAGTCAGGCCGTCGACCCAGCCGCAGGCAGGAGCGAGGAGGGGAGCACGCTTTTCTAGTCCCGCCATATCTCGTTTCCGCTCACCAAACGGCAATCATTTGCGATACAGCTTCAACGGGACGTGGAATAGAAAGGCAAGCGTTCCGCCCGCTCCCGGCAGCAGAGAGGAGTGAGTGGCGTGTGTTCGTCACAAATCTACGTGAGGTGGGGTGGAGGAGAGGTGGAAGGCGGGGCGGGGTGGGTTGGAGGGGGGGGGGTGTTCTCAAGCGTGTCCGAGGCAGAAAGGCATGCACAGGACGAGGCGGGCGAGACAAGGACGGCGGCAACGTATACGCCGCCCGGGGAAGGTGAAGGTGGGCGCGTCTCTATTGCCCATCTCCCGCTCGGCGGATCGTGCCGAGGCAGAGCAGGCGGAGGCGGGCCGGGCGGCAGCGGCGGTGCGGCTGCTGGGTTTCGACGACGAAAGGCATTTGAAAGGGGAGAGATCTCGCAGCGAGGCGGGCGGGCAGGCGAGGGGTCCGCAGGATAGAGAGCAAGAGCAGGGGCCCCGTATACGGGGGTGCGCGCGACCCAAACCCACCCCTCACCAGGGGAATGCGCCCGGCCGTTTCACAGTGAACCCCCCTCCCATTCCCTTCGCGGGTCTGGTACGGAGTAAAGCAGCTCCCCCCCTCCCCCTTCTCCTGTCCTAACCCCCGCATACCAGGACTCATCAGGCATCAGGCCCCAGCAGCGCCGCGCGCCGCAGACGTATTCCCGACACAGGCGGCCTTATCACTGAGATGTGACGTGATGACCCACTCGCAGAAAGGTTCGCCCCGACCGAGTGGCGCGCCGGAGGGGCGCGGAGCCGTGCGGAGCGGAGGTGGTGGGATCACTCCTATCTTTCGCTGGCAGAACCCCCGCCAACTCCCCCACCAACCCCTCCCCCGCCATCTATCTACACTGGCCTGTCCCCCCATAATTCTCCAAAACGGCATATCCGTCCCGATGCGAATCTCTCACACTATGTGTGTGAGGACGGCGGGGGCCAGTGGGCCGGACGGAAGGGGGGGGGGGGCGCCCCTAAGCGTCCGGGCCCAGGTGGCCTCGCCACCCCCACCGCCGCCACCGGTTATGCGCGCGGGCGTTATACGGGCGAGCGCGGCGAAACGGCCGGGGGCGCCGGGCTAGGCGGGCACGAAAAGCTCCCCCTATACTTGCTTTTATTTCATTTCTATCCGATTGCTATTCGCATTGCTATTCGCTGACACCGTGCGGGACAGCGGCGCGTCGCCTATGGGCTATGCAGAGCCACTCGCGCCGGCGATGGCTGCAATGCGGGGGCGCTCACACACACACCGTCACACACCTACACGAACACCCCTCCCCTCTCTACACCCACTTGGCTGCGTCTGCCATTCTCCGCCTTTTACGAGCTGATCGGCTGCGGGGGACAAAGCACGGGGACCCAGTCCAGTCCGGCCCTAACCCGACCCGCCCCACCATAAAACAACAAAAGAACAAGGGACGGAAAAAAGGACCGGGGGTACAAAAAAAAAGAAACAACAAAAACAGGCGTAATTGGATTGAAAAACGGTGTGTGCCGCAGGGCGACCCATTTGGCCCAAGACGCGGCGCCGGTCGCGCGCGCCAAAGCCACAATGAATGAATAAGCAAATTAATGCCCCGACCCGAAACGGCAAAATAATCGAAAGTGGGGGGCTGGGAAGAGGGGGGGGGGTCTGAGTGGCCCCGTGGTGCGCCAGGCCCACCTGCTCTAATCCCGGGCGGGACCGGCCCATCCCCGCGGACAGAGTTCCGATTGAATCAAGGGCGGAAGCTAATCTTGTCCCGAAATAGCGGTCCATTATGGGCGGGCTGGGAGGAGAGGGCCGCCTTCCCATTCTCTCTGCGCCGCGCGCCCGTCATAGGGACCGGGAGCGTGTTTGGTTCGGCCGCGCCGTACAATGTCCGATTGGTCTAAAGCAATCACCCCACCTACCACCACTTTTTTTTGCCTTTGACCTCATCTTCTATAAGATTAGAAAAAGGGGGGCTGCGTATGACCCCACCC